ATATGGTGAAAAATAATATGTTGTTCTAAAGTTTAAATTCTAAACCTTTCACTATATACCAATTCACTTTAAAGCAAGTTTTAATAATGACAGTAGTAATAATATATAACATTAATACTATAACAGTAATATCATCATCATTATTATCATCATCATCATCACCATCATCATCGCCATCATCATCATCATCATCATCATCATCATCATCGTCGTCATCATCATCAACAACAACAACAACAACAACAACGACAACAACAATGAAAACACTATTAACAACACTACTAAAACTTATCATAGTAAAAGTCATATCATTAATCATTTAATTCATGATAACATTTATTGTTTAAAAATTGTAATTATATGTTACTTTGAAACTTCGAATAATTGTATAGCAACATGAAAGTTAACCATGGGGAAAATTAAAGACAATGCCAGAATAAAACTATGTCGCAAAATTACAACCGCTACAAATATTTACTTTGCCAATCTTCTGTTAAAATATTTCAACATCAACACTTGGTTTAACCTACTGGTATCCTTATCAGCATTTTTAAACTTGGTTGAAATTCAAGTTCAATTCAATATAACTACACATAGAACATTATAGCAAATTTTATTTAATACATAATCTAGATAAGGTGTAAGACAACCGTTCATAGTACAATCATTCAAAATGTTTCTAGAGAAGTTGTTAACGTTACAATATACAATTTAATCAGTTTCTTACTTTCGATGAAAAATATGAATATCACGACAAAAAAAAACCTACAACAACGCACCCCAAAATTGAATATTGAAGTTGACAGATTATTAAGTTCTTTTTCATTTTTTATGACATTAAAGTTTCCATTTCCTGAAGAGTAAGATATCGGCAAAATTGCCTACGAAGAGTATATAATTTTTGACGGACGAGTGTACATTGAAATTCATTTTCAATAATATTCATATTACATTGTTGACATAATCTATATTATCTATTTAAATTCCATAATGCTACTGGATTTAATTTATAATTTTAGTAATAATAATTTGAATCATGTTAATTGTAATTTGATGTTTATACAAATTAAGTATTTTTCAATATTCAAAGTCATACTTATATATTGCAACGTTCTTGTCTACTTAAATTATTAATTTCTGAACGTTTATATCTATTGCCCTTTTTAGTTAATTTCGTTTTAAAGTTGCTGCTATTTCATTCTATTTGTGGAATATGAATACTATTTCTAACCGGTCAAATTCTATGAATGCACGATACATACATATACATGTAATGTTTTATCAATTTATAGCAAGTGCAATAAATGTACAGTCGATTGTCGAGATTCCATTTTAGGATCCATATTGATTATTAGTTTGACACAAAGAAAAGAATGGAAGTCAATAGTCAAAATTTAAAATATATCAAATAAGATATGCAAACTATGTTAATTCCACAGCAATTTGTATGTTTTTTGTACATTCATGGGCAAGTTTATTTTCTCTCTGAAAAAGTAATCCTTATAATGTGACAAAGTATATAGATATATTGATATATTTAAGAAATTACTTCGTAACAAATATTTAAACAAAATCTAACTATAACAATAATAAACTTTTGCAATTAGCAGAAGGTGTCATTTATATAAAGCCTGAAGGATATAGCTGTTTTGGGACGTGAACAATTCTGGGTTTTTTTCTTGTTGTTGTTGTTGTTGTTGTTGAAAAGACAAACTATTAGCCTTTAGCTTTTACGGGCAACTAAAATGAATTTTATGACTTTTTTAATTTTAATGTTTCAAATAATTGTTTTTATCTTATATCGATGTTTCATAAATCGGATTTAGAAAAAAAAACAACATGTTTTCTGAAATTCAACGATACATTTTAGTACATGTACCACAAAAACTGTTGTTTATAATGTTCTATTCTGTTGGGTTTTTTCCCGGTTGTTGTTATCATCCTAAATCTATTTTTGTCAATATGTAAGTTCATAACGTTATGTATTAAATGGTACAAAATATCAAACATAACAACTCCTTTATATACGAAACGAAGTATTGCCATTGATAAAATCAGCTTGAATTATACCAGTATATAACGATAGACCTGATTGAAATAAAATAAAATGTTGCGTGCCATTAAATTTACCTCTATGTCAATAAAGATAATTAGATAAACTCATATCTATTAAAAATATTATTTTGTGTTACTTCCTGGTATTAAAAATATTTTTTATAATAACGTCTTCTATTTTCGTTAAACAGTATTACAAAAGGTTCCCACTTTCAAAGTGTCTTCTTCTTCTTCTTCTTCTTCCTCTACTTTTTTCTTCTCCTTTTCCTTCTTCTTCTCCTTCTTCTTCTTCTTTCCTTATAATAGGGGTCGGTGGTTCTATTCAGGTGCACATTTGTGCCTGAACTAAAGCTAGAAAAAAGTCGCCACATGACCTATATTGTGTTGGTGCGACGTAAAACCCCATCCCCCCCCCCCCCCCCCCCCCCCAAAAAAAAATCCCACTTCTCGTATATATAACTATTTTATATTTTGTTTGTTCAAATTAAGAACCAAGCGTGTCTATTTTGTTTAAACTATCATATTAGATCGAATGTGATACACTTGAAAAACATATTTTATTACACCTTAATGAAGGATTGTGTTTCGTGATATGACGTACAATTGACAGTGACCTTTAGTTGGGGTATTTATAATGACATGTTTTCTTGTATTGAATTTTGATGTAACAAAATGTCAATTTTTTAATGATAGACGAAAAGGATAGAAACGCGACACACTTATAAAATATAAATAGTTATAATCGATGTTTTTGTGTTGTTTTGTTTGTTTTTTTTTTTTTATTTATTTTTGTGGGGACGGGGGTTGGTGCTTTTTGTCTTGTTATTGTTTGTTGTTGTTGATGAATGTAGTTGTTGTTGTTGTTTTACTATTTAGCCTATGATTATCCTGAAACTGGGCAATAGATATCAGAAGATGGTCAAGTGTGCAATGATACTTAACTTACAGAAACGTCCAAACCATTGATACCTCAATTCAACGAATATTATATAAGAATCATCTACATTCAAAACATTTTACATTAAACAGCCATTCATTCATTGAAATTATAATCTCTGAACCTACCTATAGCTACCCTATCAAAACTGGCATGGGTCGTTTGAGGGGAAAAATATTTCTTTGAGAAAGGCTTAAAATAGATCTACGAGCACATGCATGCACGCATATTAATTGGTTATTCGGGGAATGAATGGTTCAAAACAAGTATTGATCAACTGTTTGTATTTAACAGTATGTAAAATTTTGTACCAGTAATAAATTTGACAAAACATCAAACATTAGAACGTTTTCTTTCAAAAGAAAGTACCTGTTAGATAACATCACCTTGAAGTATACCGGTACTGAACGGTAAGCCTGGAAGAAGTATAGCAAAATCTTGCTTGAATTTCATATATCATTATAATAAAGCTAATTAGATAAATACATATCTGTAAACAATGTTATTTTGTGTCACTTCCGGGTTTAAAAAATGCAATTTAATATATAATTACGTCTACAATATCCGTCAAAAAGAATTGATATTTACCTTTCTACAAAAGGTACTAAGGTACCCTCTTTCATTATTTGTTCGTTCTGATATATACTAAGTCTTGTATAATAGTGTCTACTTTTGTAATTTAGATATGATTTTTTTTCAAATTTAGGACAATGTTTGCCTTTTTGTCAAAACGATACTTATCTAGGATTTATAGACACACGTTTAATAGTGACCTTTTGACGGTGTTTTTTTTATAATGGTATGTTTTCTTGTATTGAATCTTAATTGCTCAAAATGCCGAATTTCTTTTTTCATAGAAGACAGGCAGGATAGAAATGCGAATCGCTTTAAAAATATATACAATAAAGAGATATAATTGTTTAATTGAGTGGTTTTTACCATTTGGTTACATGAGGTACCAGAACATTTGGCCTTTCATTATCCTGAAATTAGGACATAGGTACCGGAACATTTGACCTTTTATAATCCTGAAATTAGGACAAAACGTACCAGAACATTTGACCTTTTATTATCCTGAAATTAGGACAAAACGTACCAGAACATTTGACCTTTCATTATCCTGAAATTAGGACGTTACATAGCAGAACCTTTGACCTTTCATTCTTCTGAAATTAGGACATAAGGTACATGAACATTTGGCCTTACATTATCCTGAAATTAGGACTAAGGTACCTGAACATTTGGCCTTACTTTATCCTGAAATAAGGGCATAAGGTACCGGAACATTTGACCTTTCATTATCCTGAATTTAGGACATAAAGTACCAGAAAATGTGGTATTTTTAGTTATCCTGAATTAGGACAAGGGTACCAGAGCATTTATCCTTTCATTATTCACAAATTAGGATATAAGGTACTAGAACATTTGAAATTTCATTATCCTGAAATTAGGACACTTGATACCAAAATAGTTGGCATTTCATTATCCTGAAATTAGGACATAAGATACCGGAACATTTGGCTTTTCCTTATTCTGAAATTACGACCAGGTACCAGGACATATGGCCAAATTAGGACAATATGTAGCATGGTCAAAGGTGCAAAAAATCTTGAATGATATTCATAGGAATCCAAGACATTCAACTCATCTCATATTTTATTGGGGTATCATTTTTGTTTACATATTCATTTATCTTTATTTAAAAAAACTTTATTCATAAAACAGGATTTCCTTCATCGGAATTATAGGAGACTATCAAAACATCTAAAAATTCTAAAAGAAAATCAGTAAAATGTTTTCTCAAAATAGGTTAATTTGAAATCAACATGCATGAAAAATGATATGTGTTAAGCGGACAAAACGCCTAGTCCAATACAGGTTGCAGCTGTGTACTCGTCTAATAGTATTCAGTATTGTACTCAAAAATGTAAAATAACCTCATAATGGACGGCTCTATCACAGTACATATTTTGATCGATGTATAGTTTCTTTCTTCTTTTTTTTTCAGACTGGCTACAGGTATGAAAGGTTATTTGGGCTATTGGAGGGCAATGTCATGTACATATTTAGTACTGATGCACCATCACAAGAAACAGTAAGAAATCTTTAGTTTTCCACACAAGTACCTCAACTTATGTCATAATCTTTAAATGGCACCGTTAATCGCTGTTCATTATTTTTGTCATGTACAGTGTTTCTCACGAAAATGCGGCATGTTGAAAAGCATGAAAAGACGGCAAACGATGCTTTAATCATGTTTTGAAATCTCCGAAAATCGACCTCTTTGCCATAACACCCGGCATATCATTTTGCAGTCACCAGAAGTTTTAAAAGACCGCTAAGTAATCGGAAAATAGTATTCAGACAAAAGTTGCATTGGCTTTCATGGTATGAAATAGTGCATTAAACTATTTCCGGTTTCTTTGACCACATATTACCTCGGTCAGTGCATAATGTGGTATTAGCAACACATAAAAACTCTAGAAAATTCTTAAGAAGCTTTCAAGTCATAGCAAAGAAGCATGTTTCTAACAAGGTCTGACACAATATGACAAGTTATAATAATTGTTTATCATATAAACTTATGCTCTTCTCTTTGAATGCTCCGTATCATTGCGCATTGCAATTTAAGGTGAACAGTGAAATTTTATACAAATGCAGCATACACGTTGGAAAACAATTAGATATTTAATACACTTGCGTCTATATGGCTTTGTAAATAATTCAGTTTTCATTAAAGGAGAAGGACTGTGACTGTAGAAATAACAGTATAAAATTGAAAACAATTACAAGCCATAGCAATAAAATGGTGCCAAATCAAAAACAAAAATATGTACTTTTTAAAGTTTTATTATTTATTGTCGGTATCAACATTTTATTCAAAATGTATGTTTTCCTTTTAGCAAATTGGCAACTTGACTATTGACAGCAACACTGAATTCATCAAAGGAAAGGGACATCCCTCTAAAGGCTACAAATTTGATCTAAATACGGGTACAAGACTAAATAGATTTAAGGTATTTTTATATCTTTTTTAGATATTAAGTTAAATGCATGTAGATTAAGTTTGGTTTTAAGTTCGTATCACCCGAGGTTATCCAAAATCATATGTCTTCTTTCGGCGCCATATGACTTAAAGTGTGTTGGTTCCCTGTAAAACCAAACAAACAAAACGACCATTAAGTTTGGTGTACCATAGAAAATAGTAAAATGCTATGTATACCAATACGTTATCAATATTTCAAATACTGCTACAATAATTCCGTATTTCAAAATTTAGTTTAAAGAGTACATGGGATGATAAAACGCAAACTTCCTACGCGCTTCAGAGAAATGTCTTAAGTATACACTCACAGATTGGTAGATATCAAAACAAATATATATCAAGACAATCTATAAATTAAAAAAAATGTTATAAGTTTTATGTCGAACCAAGACCTTATTTTACATTTTTAAGATACCAAATCAATGTGAACAAGTCATAACACTCAGGTTTGGAGTGGAAATCCTGTGGGGATTTATTTTGTTCATTTCAAATATAATAAATATCTCAAATTTTATCGTTGAAATGCATTGGCACATTGGCATTCGTAAGTAAACCAAGTTATGACACAATAAATCACCTTTTAAGTCTAACACACTATCTTTGCTCCTTTTACAATTTCAGAAAGAAATAATATTTCGGTATGCGGACCTTAAAGTCCATCTCGAAAAAGAGATTGATTTCTTTAAGTTTTGGAGGGAGCCACACTGTTTTTACAAATTTAGATTAAAACGCATCTTCCAAGTCATGTATTTAAGTGTGGAACGGTTGCGGGTAGTATCTATTCGATCTCCAAAAACAATTATCGTTGAAATAGAGCTGAATCACTGTAACGAACTTGCGAAAATCCTGACCTTTTAATTACCACTTTCCCATTTCCCATATTCCATACAATGAAAGAGTGCAGGAGTCGTATATTTTGTTAAAAGGCACATTATGTCCCAGAAAAGCATAATTTTAAGATTCTTTAGAAATGTCAAACATGTTTAAAAATGTTTTAGTAATTGATTTAGAGCGTGTTATGTGTTTAACATCGTCGGTTATCCACGGCCGAACCATTAACATTTGATTAACATGTTATTTTGCATATGCAGTAATGTGTCTTAAAGGTAAAAAAAATGTCCACAAAGTTGTATTTTGACTTCCATACAAAATACTAATTCACTATAATTATACCATTTGCTAACAAAGCAAAAGAAACAAAGATTAATCACCTTTATGGCAAAAGTGTATTTTCTATAAAACTGTAACAAGATACCAAAAAGTAAAAAGTTTTGAAGAATTGAAAATGAAAGCATTTTTTGGCATAATGGGCCTATTGAGCATTATGAAAATTGATTTAATTTAATATAAGTGTCTTTAAAAAACTTCCTTGTTTAACTTTACAGCCAATCGCTGATTAGTTTAAATATACGACGGTTCCTTCATGCTGACAAATAAATATATAGTTATGATAATTAATATATTATAAATTCTAATATCGTATATCTATGCCATTTTTTACCATTTTTATTTTGTATTCAAATAATTAATATAATTATCCGCTCAGTCTGATCAGGATCTATGCTGTTCGCTTACAAACCCTATAACAAGTAGAGAAACTGATAGCGAACAGCATGGATCCTGATCAGACTGTGCGGATGCGCAGGCTGGTCTGGATCCATGCTGGTCGCAAACCCATTATGTTGGTTTTGTCATGACGTGGCTCATATATTTTTTAAATTATATAAGAAAAATTGTTGGGAAATTTATTATCATATTTGATTCACAGTCGTGGTGATATTCTATAAAGCTATTCTTAATGCGTATTGCATGATGTTCGCTTTAGGGGATGGGGGCGATGTTAATATTATTTCTTCTGCAATAACTGATACAACCATACTTCTTCTGAAGAAATATGAATATTCATTTGATCAAAACATATATGTATATTCACATATTTTGTAAGACTTTTTGCATAAAAGCAGTGACTTTTAACATTATTTTACTTTCGTTTTTATTTATAGACAAAGAAATCGACAGAGCGTGAATTGTGGCGGGGGTATGTTATTGGTATATCAAAGGTATGTTTTTCACTTACCCTTAAACACATATGATTGAAACCGATTTTGTTTTATTTGAAGTATAGATTAAATACACAAATGGAGGTTGTCACCAAAAGAAAGCAAAGCCAACGACATCAGTTTGTGAAAATTAAAGTATTGGACATATTGGTTCATGTTATCACTCTCACGCCCTCAAGCACCGGCTTAAGCATTGTTAAAGGAACTCCACTGAGGTGCACAAGCCTAAAACATAAAATTTTAATTGCTTACAAATACAATTTGGGCACTTAAAAGAGAGCTATGTAAAGGTAATTTAAAAATATTCTCAGAAATAAATTGTAAATCGTATTTTTTGCTCTTCTTAGCCCAAATTTGAGTGAAAATGGTTGCAACGCTTTTAAGTTTTAGGCTATTTTTCACAATTCGAATAATTATTCTGGAAAAACGAAAAGAGCAAATGATCTGCAATTTCAAACAAGTTATTGGTTTAGACAAACATCAAATGGAACATTAATCTCGAAAAACATATTTCCAGTTCCGTCATGTCTAAAAATCTCAATGGAGCCCCTTAAACAACTGAAATTGCAATGACTTTTCTCAACGGACTGGAGGTTTACATCAAAGATTGATATCGAGGCATGATAATTAAATACTGATTTTTAAATTGATAGCTGCCATATGAACATATCTGTAGTTGTTACAAAATTTTAAGTTCTACCACTTTTATACTTGATGTTAAATTCTTTTTGAGACGGTGCTAGAGAGCATGTTCGGTAGCTTGCATTTATTACTATCATTCACGAACCGACTCAATCAAAACGAGCCTGAATTATTTTCAATGTTGCCGTGTTAAGAGTCCTTTAAAAAAGTTACCATTTATTTCATTTGCAATATATGTTCAAGATGGCTTCTTTATAGAATATATTGTTTCACATACTCCATTAGTACAAGTTAAGACGTTGGACACAGAGAATTGATTTAACTTTTCTATACTTCCCATTAGATTGCAGTTTTTATTTGGATCATAAATATATCTTTTACAAGATAATATTGGCGTTTTGGGATTAAACTAGCTTTGAAAAGTATGCACGTTATTAAAAGATCACTGTCAAAGTATACACTTACATCTAACAGCAAACTTTAAAATAAAGAGTAACGGGTAATGATATATTCACGAATCAATATTTCCACTGATAAGATAGTTTTTATCCATTCTACCAGGAAGAATGGAAGTCTTAAGATTTGAATATGCATCTTACTATACGGTATGAAATTTAATTTATAGAACAGAACAGAACATGATTTAAATTATGGATTTGTACATAGTACATCATCACTACAATATACATACAAACTGTAAAAATGTCACGTTTATATTCAACAAATAATATAGAATTTGATATATTATAGCATTGAAATTCATGTAAAGATGGAGAGTAAATAACAATGATTTAAGAAAAATAATACTGTCACTTATAAATCAATTTGGTAAAGAACAAACATATTTGATACAAGAAATCATTTGAATTTTAGGTATAAATTTTGTTACAAAATATCAAAATTCAATTGTTAGTACTAGGTTACTAACAATATTGTTCCTGATTTTAATAGATTCTTTTCAAATATTAAGGTAGGTTCGTAAGTATAATTTTGTTATTAGAGGAAATCAGTTCAATAAATTTCGACGTAGATGGTCTATTATAAAGATATCGTTTAAATATTTTAATTAATACGTAGAAAATTGTGAAAAAGTGACCATGGCAGTGACGCTTTTCGCGTTTTACAAACATATTTCTTTACAGTACAAGATATATCGGTACCTAATTGTTTCTAATTACAAAATAATGTTCACTGGTTCTAGGATTGATCTATAGCGTAAAAAGCACTTTATATTACGAGAACTTCGCCATAAGTCTAACATTCCTACTTATATTTTGCAATTCATTTCATTATGCAATGTCGAGGAGGGTGGTCATATTTTTGACATCATCTATTCCATGAATTTCGAAGTATCCTAGAAGTAAATTAATTAAACTGCTGTGCAAATTTTCTCATCGGAAAGAAGTCTAAATAAACCGTCTGATCTGTATCTGAATAACGCAGTTATTTTATGAAAAAAAATGTCTATTTATAATGACATCGCTTTTGTAATTTAAATTCATGAGCACGTTCTTAGAAGTCATTTGAATTTGCATATCAATGAATGTAAAAAATACAATGATAGAAGAGTGTAGCCTTACAAAATTGATTTTAAATCAGTTAATATATCATTCGAAACTTTAAAATTTTTCCTTGTAACTTTGTAAACGATAGAAGCGTGGACAGTTAAAGCGGCCTTCAGCTTTTCTAAATGTTAAATATGTTGTTTTCAAATAAATCGTTTCATATAATTGTCCAACCAAAATTAACTTTTTAAAGGTGGAAAATGAGTTGTGCCGACTATAAAATACATAAACAATGAGGAGACACCTCGATACCTCTAATATACCGGCCCGCTCTTTAGTAATTAGTAAAGGGACAATTTATTTCCCGATCTTCTATTTTTAGAAACGAACGTCACAGCTGGGTTATAGATAGATCTCAGGACGCTGTGTTGAAGAAGGCTTTACAGAGAAAAAATACTGAAATTCTTAGTTTGAAACAAGACAGAACTGTTGTTTTGTTTTTGTTGTTTTGTGTTTGTTGTTTTTGTTTGGGGGGGGGGGTTGTTTGTTTTTTGTTGTTTTTTCAAAAAAAATCTGAAGGCCGCTTTAATGCATAATTAAGATTCAAAACAAAAAATATCTTTATCTTTATAAGAGATTGATGAATCTTGTTTCCTTAAACCGCATCCTGTTAGATTGTTTTAAAACATAATATATTCACAAAACAAACTGAAAAGAAAAGTAATATACATAAATGTATGAATATTATCGGTTTAATTTACTGAAAGATCCTGTAACACAAATTTTTTATGGTTTTATATCATAAATATGATGCTCAAATAAAGATTTATCAATTTTGTAAGTTCCAAAAAGCATTATTTATAAAGGTATCACCGAATTTAACAGTTCATGTAAATAAAGGGAGGTAATAAAATATTTTTCTATAAAGTCTAAGTCAAATTTTTCAATAAGAAATGAATGCATATATTTTAATGATTACATATAATATGGACAAATATTTGCTTAAATGTGGTATACAACCTCAATTACAACATATAGGATCTTTCACTTTTTGATACCCAATGTCGTTGGTTTAGCCGGTTTCAGAATATCACGAACGATTTATGCAGAGGCGGGGGTGTTGGGGTCGGGGTGGTTGGACATTAAAGACACTACTTACATGAAATAACATGCATTCTCCGGGCATCAATTTAAGTGGGACATTGACAAACATTCTGAAAAAGGGAGATCCCTTGAGGAAAATGATAACAAAAGAACGTAATGAAAATCACACAATCTGTTTGACTTAATTTATGAAAAACATCCTCTAGCATTAACTTTCACGATATTTAATCTCCAATACTAAAAGCATTGGCATCACTTTGTACTTGATTGAATTAAAAAAAAACAAATATAATTACGTACATTGTACTGTTTGTGTTTTGTTTGATATGTAAGAAAATCCCATGGCTAAATTAAAGGGAACGTTTTATTGTAATAAGTTTAGAAGTATATTAGCACGTCGCATTTTTAATGGTTACGGCACATGTCTAAAAGTAGTTGACACCAGTGATTTTATTGCATATTTACACACACGTTCGGTCCCATGTTCAATACGGAAAAATGTGGATCGTGTTAGAATAAAAGATTATCTATGTCTTTAAATGGAAACATGTGTGTAACAAATTTACGAACGGCATTTTCTAGGTATTTCATATAAAATTGTATATCATTTACGAACTCCACTTTTTCTTTGTAGGGAGACGTTCCAAATGATCTTGATCTTTTAGATTCTGAGGTAAAGGAAATAAAACAGAACGTAGCTGCATTCCATGGCTCTGAAGTAGTAGATTATGATCCTAAAAGATCGTCAATAGCGTCAGGCGTTTCACAACGCTCGCAAGTGTCAAGTATGTATGATGCATTTAGTACTTTTGTTAATTGCAAGCAATAAAAGATGTATTGTTCAATATCAAATGCTGAATAGTTTTGGTTTGACTTTATTGAAAATTAAAGGCATATTATGCCTCAGAAACGAATAGATATTTCCTTCTGTAAAAATACCAACTATGATCATTTGCCTAATTTTATTAAATATTGTTTGAAAAAAAAAAGATATCGTTCTAAGTAATTTTGAATGAACATTTACATAATAAATAATAATATTTTGTTCTAGAACATTTAATTACCTGCTATATAAATACATGTTATTTCGGATCATGTATTACATATTTGCCAACTACATACATATATAATTCGCCATAGTTTGTTGCTATGAATGATACTCAATACTTTCGACTTAAAATATTTATTGTTTTACTCCTATTATAAACCAATTCCCTTTAATGTCTGAGTTTTGGGATTAGTTAAGGATACATTTATCACCTTATTCATTCATATGAAAAATCAAACACTTATCATTGCAGCCGATAGAATAAACAATTAAGAATAGCTAATGTGAGTTATAAGATAGATAAAAAAATAACTGTGCATGAAATGTTCCAAATGATATAACAAACAATTGTATGTGTGCAAAAAGTAAAGGCTAAAACCAAACATGAATGACTTTATTACCAGTATATCTATATAAATGCTTAGTCATTTAGTCTCAAGAAACTTCAATAGTTCGAACTATTTCGCTAAAATAAAATTAATTATTGAAAATAAAGGACTCAAATAAGTTTGATATTTTAAATAATGTAATGAATAATAAAAGTAGAGTAAAATTCCAAAGAAAATTGTGAACAATAAAAAAAGCCTTATGACTTTACTGATGTGACTAAGCAAGATAGAATTTGCAAATTTGCCGTGTAAATAATACCTTTATCTCAATTCTAATTAGTAACGTTTTATTTTGATGATTTACAAAATGAGATATCATATTTATTGTTGTTGTTGTTACTGTTTTTGGTTGTTGTTTTTTCTTTTGCTTGAAATTGAGTTATCCTTATTTTCAATGAGATATCACATGATGCCATAATCATTAACATGCTCGTTTCTATTCTCAGAGGTAATATGGTCGTCTTTAAAAGTATTTTATAATTTATTTTGTAAATTATATACATATTTACTTTAGGGAAGTCATTATAAGGCGAAATGTTTTGTTTGATGCATAAAATAAGTCTCAGTTTTTTGACATCCTCATAAATCTGTCCAATAAAAATGAATAGAATGAAAGAAATTGCTTTTGAGGTTTTGTCCGGGAGTTCTTTTTTTTTACAAGAGATTGAGTGATGAAAGTTTTTTATGCATTCATTGAACGTTTAATAGATGCACAATAGATCAAACGCGACGTCGTCACGATGTTTTTATACAGTATAATAAAACACAACTTTTCCATAAACTCAGGAAAATATGTTCGGCGGTTTTCTCCCTTGTATAACACCAATTTTAAAATAATACAAACATATAACTATTTTATATTTTAAATTGTCACCATATATTGGATGGTCATGTTCTTGGGGCATTTAGCAAAAGGCTTTCTTAAAGTCCAAATATATTTCATGTTGTTTTTTTTAATGTTTAATCAACGGTTTTATCCTCTGTTTTTCTTTGACCATTAAATGTTGTTTCGAAACATATTTCCATCACTGTAAGAGTATGCCATATATGAATTAATTGCCTTTCTGTATCCTAATTTTGTCATCAAGTTGTATGTTTATTTTATAAGGAGGTAAAGACTCGGGTGTTGTTTCACTAGGCGGCATGAGCAGACAGTCAGGAAGTTCTAGCGATGATTCAAGGTCAAGGAGATCCGTCGCTTCAACTGTGTCAGGAACTGTGGACCATGGTGGACCAACCGTGGTATGTATAATTTGATCACATAAAAAACCGCAGCGTTTGTCTTGTGATAGAGCTGCTATTTCTTTGGAATGTTGGGAGTTCTACTTAGGTTGAATACTCGGCTGGTTCAAACTAAAAGATCATTGTAATGTTGTTATGTAGCTGCTTCTAAACTAACTAAGAACTTAGCTTTTAAATGAAGAAGTTTGAGGACTTGTAAGCCCGGAAATAGTAAAATGCATAGAATATAATGGCAATGTATCTAAGGTGCTAACTTTCAGTGCAATTGCTCTGTAATTGTATATTGTCAAATAGATTTTGATCATTGCGATAACTGAACACAATCGTGTTATGATATATTGTAATCACTCACTCACAATTTTATTTTAAACATGGCCCTTTGAAAATGATATGTCGTGTTACGCATGACATTTTCACACAGCATGGGATACATTTTTCATTGCAAGAAGCTCGGTCCGTACCGTTCTTCTGATTCACTAATAAAACACTCAATGCTATGCTTTATTTCTCAATAGATACTTCTTATCATTGAGTCAAATATTTTGCAGGAAAATACTAGAAAACTGCTATATAGCATTAAACATCCAAATAATTATGATAATATTCTTCCTATATTGACTACACTGATTTATTTCTCTATCTAAAATATATTAAGATTTTCACATTTTTAATATAAATTTGCTATCGCTTAGAAGAAAATTGTTCACTTGCAAAGCATGCAATTTAAAAGCATTGTGAAACATTTTTTCGTTTACTTGTTTATCATTTAAATAAATAGAAGTTTGCATTTCAAAAGAAATCAAAAGTAAGCTTTTCACTTTGCTGACATTAAAAGCTAAATGAACTATAGGCCTAACAGTAAATAAAATATCATCAAACACAATAAACAGATATACAAAATATACAAAACAACAACATTATCAACCGTGACCTTGTGCTCATTTTAAATGCCCATAAACTCAGTGTTTAATGATAAACGTTTATATATTTAAAATGTACAAAAACCACCATATTAACAACCTCGGCCTTCCTCTCATTTAAAATACTCGCAATGAATACATATGTCCATGAACACGGTGTTTATGGTCGAAATGATCATCCGACCACAGGTCTACAATTTCATTCATTACAACAATCAAACGATACACTATACCCTTGTACGGACAATTTACTCCACGGGTTGTCTTAAACCTTGTGAAATATACAAAACGGAGATGTTGCAATATTAAATAGGATGATTTAAATCACAGTGAATTTGTCCAACCAGTATAAGAGATTAGGATGTTTTTCACCGTTCACGCCGATGGTTTGTGAAAAAAGGCTTTAAGCGTACTTTAACGGCTAAAGGATTACAATACATTTATTGAACCGATCCTTTTTTAAAGTTTATTCTAAAAGCTACGAAATAAATAAACTATGTATTTATATATACACGTACAGTCCCATTCATTCAGTTTTACATATTTACAAATAGTATATCGTAAAATAGAGCGAGCTTACTGAACCTTTAAACCGTCCCATGATAATATTAAACAAACTTGTTGTAATAAATCTGTTAAAATTGCCACAATATGCGACACTAAATTAAAATCCGTGGAAAAAGGCTCAAAGTGAAAAGGATGTTTCATTTCTGAACATGGATATTACGACGTGATTTATATGTCTGAGAAAGAAAAAAGTGTTAAAATGAAAGTAATTGTAACATATGAGGGAATTATTGACACAGCTGACGGAATAGTGTGAAAACATTTATAACTCCACATGTATATATTAAAGACATTGGATTACAAATTATCAGTGTACAAAACGACCAGACAAAATAAGTTGTACGGGGACAGTAATTCCAGTTTTAGAATTTTGAATACTTGATTATTTTTGGAATAGCATATACCATATCGTAACATTACAAAACATAAGTTTAGTAATAAATCGTATGCGAACAGCACAATTCATTAAAAGATAAGAGTTTACAGGCATACATAAATACATATGTAATGAGAACATATACAAAAACACCGTTATCCCCCAAAAAAGCATTCCGGAGTGAGTCTTGGCTGATATTTTTTATGAGCTGCGACATATGAATAAATTGAGCATGATCATGGTCTATGTTTAATCAAACGAAGAGGCTTATTTGCACACTGCATGGTTATATAATCAGTTACAGTTTGAGTCATCCGTGCGATTGAAAGTATTAAAATACATGTTAAATATATGAGTGTATGATGGTATTTAGTCTAAAAATAGAATGTTTTGAAGTTGTGCACGCCTTAAAAAGTTTAATAGTTTTTAAAGAGAGTGAATGTGTGGGTTCTTTTTTAAATTTGCGTAAATCGCCTGCATAGGGGTATCTTAAATAACGACTTCAATGAGTATCTTGGTATGTATAAAGCACTTGTTGAATTGAATTAATTTAATGAATTTATTAACGTGTATTGAATGATACTTAGTTATTACGTAATCACATGAAAAAGTACACGAAGAAGTGTGAACATGAATGCATTGAAGATAGAAAAGTGAACGTGATTCTAAATTTCTCAGTGCACAAGGTCATATTACCAGCTCAAATAAAAGTGAGATTAGTACATTAAAAGAATATCATACGAATTCTGTAGGACAACCTCTTGTGTATTATGAAATGAGCCGCGTCATGACAAAACCAACATAATGGGTTTGCGACCAGCATGGATCCAGACCAGCCTCCGCATCCGCGCAGTCTGATCAGGATCCATGCTGTTCGCTATCAGTTTCTCTACTTGCTATAGGGTTTGTAAGCGAATAGCATGGATCCTGATCAGACTGCGCGGATGCGCAGGCTGGTCTGGATCCATGCTGGTCGCAAACCCATTATGTTGGTTTTGTCATGACGCGGCTCAAATTTAGTGTTAATTATCATGCAGAACATGTTCGTGTTCTAAAGTTCACTGAAATTTCGTGCATATATCAAGGATTATGAAGTATGACTAAAATAAGAATTATCATATTTCATATGAAGACATCAGAAACTGTATTGAAATAACATGGGTTATTTGTTTGCAGTGTATCTGATATCCATGTTTCTTTTTAATTGATATAAGGATTTCGCAGTGCAATACATTGATACTATTAGATCTGTTTCATTTGAATAATTCTGGAAATACTTGGTTGTTCTGTTGTAGAAGAACAAACTGGGTTGTTATTTTATGTGCAGATACAGTTAATTGTTGTTTAGTATTAGGATAAAAAGTGCAATAATCAATTATTGAAATTGTGTCACCTATAAACATGCATTTTCTACATGTATATACTAAATAATTGTTTTGTGAAAGGAACTGGCTAAGTATATCATCTAAGAACAAATCCAACCACTGTCTCTGTAGAAAACATAACATATAGGTGACATTCGAAAGATACATTGAATTAGGAGTGTTTAAAATAGTCAACACTATGATTCGATATTAGTTTAAAGGAGACTAAACGTAACAATGTATTATAATAACAATAAGAAATTCGACGACGTTAAGTTCTGGACTGTACGGCTGCCAAGATACAAATCAGGGACACAGACATACCGTTATGAAGGTAGACTCGAGGTGGGTAAACATGTCCCTTTGATGTTTATAGGTCAATTATAGTTTATATGGATAATTTTAGTTTAGTGAATAAGTGTGAATCACTAAATACACATACCGCCTCCGTGGTCGAGGGGTTAGAGTCGATGACTTCTAATCCATTTACCTCTCTGGCGTGGGTTCGATCCCCGGGAGATGCTTTGGTAGTTTAGCACGGAGGAAGGTAGTCTAGTACTAGTGTAACTCTCCAGGTTCGGTAGTTAGGAAACTACTCGCTTATATTACTGAAATACTGTTGGGAAAAGGCGTAAAATGAAACAAACAAACAAACTAAATACACATATTATGCATATTATGCTCACATTTGTCAAAAAAATCTTTCAAAATGGATAAATTGTGTATGTAGGGAGACTTTTATTTCCAATATCTAAATATCATTTCGCTGATAAATCTTTATGTATATAAACTGCTATATATGTAATAGTTCGTTTTACTTTCATGTATAGTTTTCATTATTTGAATCTGATGTGAATAAAAAGAATATGCACGTTATGCCTCAGAAACAAATAATTTTTTACTTCTTTAGAAAGGTCAATCATGATATTTTAATGTTGAAATAAGGGTTATAGAGAATGTTAGATGCTTGCTACCTGAAAAGATAGCAATCAATATAAAATAATTTGTCATAACAACAGCAAAATGTAAACAAAGTAGTATTTTGACTTCCATACAAAATACTAAATCGCTGTAAATGTACTTATTGCCAACAGAGGAATAAGATGGTTCAGGTATACTCAAATTCGATATTTGAAAACACTGATAATTGCTATTGAGTTGTGTATTTTTAATGTAAAATATTTTTTTTTGAGTATACACAGTGATAAAATTTTATGTTTGAAATTCTATACACTAAGTAAACACAGTATAGATATATAGCATCATCTAAAAAACTGTTTTTAAGAAGGTACGGAATTACTGTGACCAGTAATCATAATTAGGATTGCATTTTTATCAAAACTCTCTTTGACCTATTCAGTAAGAATTTCCAAGATTTCAATTAAAAATATTTCTGCAATAAAAGTATTTCACCCAAAGATAAGCATAGTTTATCTTTAAGAAAGGCTTAATAAGACAATGTGATTCGATTTTTATATGTATTTGCCTACAGATTTGTCAAATTTAAGTGAAAGTTACAAAGGCTAATAATTTACTGTAAGTGCATGTATTCATTTGTTAAAATTTTGGCCCGGGGATGCCGACTATACTTATCCATTACTCCGGTACTTTAATGTTTGTAGATAATGTTTGTTAAACAATACGTATGCACGAGTTTATTGTTATCTATTTTGCTGATGTTACGAAATTTATGAGAACACTGCATTATACATTTTACATATTTTTCAGGTACATAAATTTTACAATGATCACAATAGGGACCAAAAACCACCCAGGTAAGCATATAAATTCAGATTGTATAACTAATATTAAAATGTTTCCGTTTTGAAAATCTAATTTCAGTTATAATTCAAATACAAACATACTTGGCCATTAGATTTACGTCTGTTTAAATTATGTTTTTCACTAAATGTTTTACGAGTATTGTCGACGAAAACTTACAATAATATTTAAACACCTCTCGAAACAAGTTTTTGACCGGTATATTTGCATTTAACCGGTGGTAAAATTAAACAATACACGTCAGACGACAATGTAGAGAAACTTTTTTTACTCAGATTCAGACTGACCACGCCCTTTATCGCCAGTTGCGACTCCTTTGAGGTGATTTTGGTCTCTTTGCGACAACTGATGACCAGAACAGACTCAGATCAGCCTTAGCATCTGTGGCGTCTGGTCATTTTCTGCACTGATTGCTTTATATTAAGAAATACAGAAGATAAAATTTCCCTAAAAATGATGAATGGCTTTGTCCAGATTAAAAAGGACGAGTTATACAAAGTCAACGAAATAAAGGAATGAATCGTTTGAAATAGATTCATTTCTTGTAATATTGTTATAAACGCTAAGCCACTGTCGTTTTTCGTTATACCCTTTTTTAAGGTCGACTTTTATGCCGTTGCCATTGCCGTCCGCAAACTTGTACCTTGATAATAAAAGTTCTTGGTGTATTGTCTTCATACTTGACAACAACAACTCTTGGGACAAGACCTTTCAGTAGACCAGCCTAACCCTGGCCTTCATCCATAAATGACATTGACCTTCAAGGTCAAATTTTCAAATTTTGCTTGTTTCTTGTTAGTATATTTTTTTCACGTGAGAGGGTGTTTCCTACTATGACGTCATTATCTAAGAAAATGCCAATATGGCGACTCGTCTAGCTCGTATACATGCTTATTTAGGGTCTGTACATAATCCTTAATGGTTAATGTCTGGTATATTTTAGTTGGTTCATTCCACATTGCTCAAGAGAAATGGCGGAAAAAGTTCTGGAGAGAGCAGTCACTGAAAACTATGGAAACACGTTGATGCGAGAAAGTACTTCATACTTGAGTAACGGAAGTTACGTTATATCTAAAATAAATGTCAACAAGAGGTTTGTAGTTCTTTTTGACATTACGTTAAACGTACTCGGATAAAAAAATGTTCAAAGTAGTGAAGATAGTATCATTTTTACAACTCACCTAAGACTTTTTTTACTGTCTTTAAGACATACGAGTATATATATAACTATATATTTGTATAAAAAAATAGCGACTTTCGTGTTCAAATTTGTTGCATATCTTATTTTAGAGATGGAAGAGTTGAGTTTGAACATTTCGAAGTAATTCGAACATCTCAAGGTTACAAGGTTAACGTACAAAATCACGTGAGTACTATTGATAAACATTTCTAATAATAAAAGCCTTCGGTCGAACAAATATATCGAATGATTCATCTATAAATATTTTCAAAATATTTTGTTTTCTCTGTATACTTGAAATGTTATTTGACTCATGTAAAACAGGTGCAAAAACTGTTTTAAGTCCTATGATTTAAAATAAATAGAAGCAAACAATCAAATTCATGATATGTATAATTTAGTTATAAGCCTACGCGATTTACTGGTGCGTGAAAGAATATGTCCATACTGAAACAGCATCCTGAATCACTCGTAAGGTGACTGTCCACTAGAATACAAGCAAACTGATCGATTAATTTTAGTTATCTGATCAAAAATCAAGTAGTGATAACATTGTATCAATACAAAAAGTTATTCCCTCTAAAGATAAAGAAATGACTTGCATTTTCAAAATGAATCTAGATATGTTTTTAAAAGACATGCTAAACAGTTTAGATAATAAAACTTTTTTAAATAAAAATACAATATATCAAAGTACATTATGTATTTTATCATTTCAGCATCAACCAATGAAATGTCTTCAAGATGTGATGGATTACTTTGTGGGTACATCTGGAGGTAGCACGCGGCCTCTTGAAGTAAATGACCCAACATTTCTAGCACAGGACACTCCTGGATATTCAACACAGATACATTTTAGTAGGAATTGTTTGTTTTATCTTTAATAGTACAAAGTCCAACCACTTGACTCTGTGTCAGTAGTCGGTTAGATGTCCAGATTTTATTTTTTTATCTTGTATATATAAAGCCCCTGAAATTAGCCATTGCATTGTCGAATTCAAAAGAAAAAAGAAAAAAAAAAAGATTTAGCTTGTATTGAAACTGAAATTGTAAAGGTTCATTTAGTATCATGTTTGTAAGGTTATTATGTATGTATTATTCGTATATACTTTAATTTTGTAGGAAAAGTAATGCCTTATCTTAGTATCCATTTCTTTACCAATTAAATGATGGTTCTATTTAACACAGTTGTTAAAATAAATACATTGTCATTGATATTTTGAAGAGTTGCTACAATGTAAAAAAAATGTTATTTAAAGAAGACTTTACTTTGAGAAAAACAATGTTTTTATTGTAAATGTTTGTTAAAAAGATGATATTATAACTGTGTTTTTTTTATTCAACATGAACAACAATAATAGTCGTTCTTTAAGATCTGGAAGGTTGAGAATGAACATAAACAATACTTGTTTTTATCTCAAATTTCAGAAAGACCAGAATCGTGGAAATGGCCGCCACAAGGTTAGTAAATAAATTAACTACATACGTAACGTCCACGCATGTTTAATTTTTTCTCTTCTGCATGTATAACTTATAACAGTTATTTCCATTTGTACACGTTTTTTTCTGAAACACTTTTTACACGGTTTTCTTATTTCTATACAATTTGCTTTTCATCAGCACACTCTCTTTTGTAATCATGGTAATTTGATAATTGCATGACAACTTCTCATTTTGTTATACTGTTGTGTTTTGAACTTACAGACTTTGATCAAAATGAAAACGCGTTTGACGTGTATTTTCAAAACACCTTGGTTAAACATGTATAATTTTTATGTAATGCAACATTTTGAAAAATATACGTAGGGGTCAACACAGTGATATATTAATATCACATTAATGTTTTATTATTTTTAGATTCGAGGGAGGAGCCAGTACCAGGTATTTTTCATGTAGTTGTTGTTTTGTTTGTAAACGTTTCTTCGTTTCTATGAATTTTACAATTACATGTTTAATGAGTCCATGTTTATTGAAAAAGAAATTACTATTTTTGGAACCAATTGATTTATGGCAGAAGATTATTCCTTCAAAGTTGAACAGAAAAAAGAAATTTTCAACACGTTAATGTCAACATAATTTATGATTTAACAGTAGTAAGGATTTCTTAAATGATTAATTCATTGTTTTTTTTTTACAGAGAAATAGTAAAGAAAGTTAATTTAATTCACTTTTTTGCAGAATATTTTTTAAGTTTTTACGAGTATTGTCTTCTGCCAAACCTTATGCATGTTTAGAATCATTTGATCGTTTATAACATACAACACTTGTTAATTACATATTCTTACAAAACATCAATATCTAAGTGGTACAGTGTATTCAGAATTTACAAGCCTATACAAAAAATAATTAAATAACAAGAAAAATCAGAATTGTACACTAGCATGTTAACATACATACTCCTTGTGCCTAAGGGATTGCCTTTCATGGTCGAGGCATGAGAATTGCATCCACCGTTTATCCCTGTTTGATCGTAGGAGGCGACTGATTGGGTTCGAATTACTGGAGTCTATGCATCTCTTAGCTGCTCCAGTGGGTGAGGTAGATTTGACCCCTGGTGATTGTAACACTCGAGGTTAGACAAAATCATCTTTCCTGTTTTCCTGCGCCATATGACCTAAATTGTGTTGGTGCTTTGTAAAACAAAACAACCATGTAAACGTAAACAATAATACGTTTGGATACGTATTTACAAACAATACATGAAATTTATTATTTTGAATGATACCACAACTTCAACTTTTAACTGATTTGTTTTCTATTTGTTATTCAAGACGGACGTCATCACCAATGTGAGTTTGGTGCATTACATTTAAACCACACAATTTCTATAATGCTTGTTCTTAATATATCCCTTAACGTGAAAAGCATTTAAACATTTTGGTTCTTTTATGTATAAAAGCTTGTTAACATATTTTCTGATATGTGTATTCCAATATTTTCACCGAGGTGTCATTTCTTTAGGAAGTTTAAGAGTTAGATAGGGTCTTCTTGCGTCCATATTTTGTTCCTTTTATCCAGCATAAACATGTATGTGGTTCATTATTATACATCTGCATAAATGTTGTAAAATTTGCTCTAATTAAGTACAAAAATTGTATGAAATCTGGTTAATTTAATTTATGTTTGCAACTTTAAAGGCTGTTTGATCTGTTAACTATTTTTTGCATGACGGACACATTTTAACGTCCTTAATTAAGAGAGTTACTAAAAAATGGTCAAAGCTAGAATGGCACTGACAGTGGCGACCACGGGACAAGCAGCTAGCATTGATATAGGATTTGGCAGAAATAAAATACATTAGTTTAAATTACAGTTCGATTCCTTTGAAAATGTGTCAAGTGAATGATGATTGGATTAAAAGTCTCGGTACAAACGATATAGTTAAATGTTAAGGAAAATGTTGGAATGCTTGTCACAAAGTTAGGGGAACTAATGCTTAATTAACCACTATGCGAGAGCACAAAGTGTTTTTCTATATTTCTACATATTAATATCTTGGACAGATGACTGTAAGATGTACACTTGTCAACAAAATTTTCTGGTTCTTTTAATAATATTTTATTCTTTTAAATCTATGTCTTTATTTCCTAATCAAATTAACAACAAGATGCACTGTAGCTGTAGATTAATTAATTTATTTATTTTCGTTTCTTAACACGTATGGACTGTACACACTCGTACCTCTGTAAACTTTGATAAACTCTAAGGAGCATAACTTGAATTCAAATGTCATTTCAAGGAGATATAAGTCATTTAATAAGTTTTTTTTTTAAAGATAAAAGAGAAGTTTACTATGTATTTTATTTACTTTATCTTTTTATATGTTAGAAAAAGAAAAGATACTGAAAGTTTTTAGGATTCTTCTTTACTAAATTAAATCTATATAACTTATAGGAATAAATTAATCCATGAGTGGCAACAACATACATTATTTGAATGGAATCTTTTTCTGCTAAAACAAGAATTTATAAATTGTGTGGCCGAGCTTTTTTTAAACGTTACAATATCATTTACAGATTATGACAACCATCCGTCATCCCCACCCCCGGACGACAACAGATTCCGAAATATTGAAGGGTCTCAAACTGTATCTGCGGGTATATTAAGGAACCAACGCCCTCTACCTTCCCCTGGGGCAAATGAGAGAAAATCAGGTAAAATATAAGCATAGAAATCTAGCCATAGTTAAAATACAGCAACCAGACATGCTTCCTCCTCGCTTGCATTTTAGTATTGAACAGACTTAATGAGGCGAATAGTTTTAGTTTATATATAACTACGATGTAATCATAACATTTGCATTTTTGCTACATAAATGTATATCAATAGTAAAAGAAAAGCTCAATGATATATTTTAGATAGTAAAATAGTTATTTGTTGTCAAATTAGGAAATATCCATCATCAATATTACACAAGCGGCAAAGAATTATAAACAATCACCAAAGAAAAATGCTAATACACGCGTGTTTAGATAAATAATGTAAAAGATATTTTTTTAATAAATTCCTTGTCTTAATAAGGTACCATTTATTATCTTGAAAGGTTTTACATATGTTATTTAGTTACAGCTATCAATTGTATCGGTTTTTAGAATATGAGCAATAGTTAAATATTTCATAACTTAACGCCTAACTCACGTAAAATTGATGGTTGTGTCCCCCTTTCGCCTGTTGTTCTTGATGTTTCATATATTATACAGATAAAACCCAGCTCGATTTACATTCTTTGCAATATTTGTATGTTTTGCCGACGTTTTTATTTTCTTTAAAAAAAAATCTTGGATAAGACGAACGATATAAAGCTCGAAATACTGATCGTTTATTTAAGAAGGCTATGGTTTCAAGCTTAAAAAACTTTCAAACTATCTTTCTCAAGTGACATTGTTGTAAAAGCTTAACAAGCCAGATTAGATAAAAGCGTAAATGTCGGCAAATCATTAAATATTTAAATTTTCCCTTTGTTCTTCAAAATGAAATACATTGTTTAATGTAGTTTGAAAAGCTTTGAATATCAGCGATGAGTTAAAGACAAGATATATGCTTTGGTCTCCAATGGACACATCGCAAGGCTTTCATTGCTGTAACATTTGCAATAGATTTAAAATGCTTGTGGTTATATCTATATTTAGAAAAATTGTATTTACGTTAATCAGTTGGATGGTCTTCTGTGATCAATACCCCACCACCTATTCCTGGTCATTCTAAAACCTTTGCTGGTTCCCGTACTAGACAAGCACCTGTACCATCTATGACGGAGCTTACGCAGAGAAGCCATGAAGCAGGTACTCTTTACGTCATGTTAGGAACGCGGCGGCGTCTGTTGTGGACTGATAAATTTGGACATAATTATTTTGAAATATTTGAATTTCTGAAACATCTGATCAATAGTCAAATATTACTCTTGGAAGTAATTGTATTTTCTATTTATGGAATCGAAACTGTTATATGTGTTATATGCAAATACAATTGTATCATATAAGTATAATAGGCCAAATGAGGAGACACATATATCTAGAAATATAGGTGTAGTTGGAAGGCTCAAAAACTTTGCTAGTAGCTACTTAACTATCGCGTCTATATTTTACTTACTTAGCCATGCAATTTGCTCTATGTATATCACAGAGCCTCATTTTTTGTGTGAAAAATATGGATGTATTGACATTTCATGCTTAACAAATGTTTTAGTTTTAGCCTTTAGAACACAAAAATGTCAACTTACAGCTTTTGATATTATTTCTACTTTCAATTAGACAATGAAGTATGATTTTGCCTTTTTTCCAGCTTTTTCGGAGCTTTACGAATTATTTTCACTTCCTCAATTACGTATTTTCTATCGAAGTGGTACCTACATGTAAAGTAAAACATGTATCATAAGAGCCCGACAATAGACATGTTGCCTTTACAACGTCAGCGTGACTTAAAACCAGGATATATATTAAACGAACATGCATCATCAATTGTTGCTCTATTCCAGTTAAGAAACTTTACAAATATTCGCTTTCCACTTTTTCCTCCTTAAATGACTATCAAAGTGTCATACCTTTACTAACCAACAGAAATTCCAGAAATAATACTATCTTTATAATGATCAAGAGTTACATTTGTGTTTTGCTATTTCAGATCAAATTGAGAAATTTGACACTATGTTAAGTGGCTTTGAAAGTGGGTTTGAGCGAAATTCAGTGTATGTTAACTCATCTTCAAGCAAGAAAGGAGGTATTTTCGTTTTCACATTTTCTTTTTACATTTCTTAGTTCTTTTAAGAATTCAAATACAGACAAATGTTTATACTAAGATTTGACTGAACCCCATCCATCCACCCATATACTTAAATTGCAGGTACATGCGACGATTTAAGTTGGAATGAACCCCCATTCACCTACCCAAACCAATTTCTATGTTCCAAAAATGCCAAACTTGCCATCTTTTTTTTAAACTTATTTTTATTTTTGAAACATGTCACAGTTTCTACAAAGTTAATTGAATGATGAATATTCTTTGGCTATTTATGCTTTTTTTGGCAATGAGTATAGTTATAATGATTTAGTTTTATGCATGGAAGTCAATGTGCCATGCTGTTAACATTTTGCTCACTTTATGATTTAACACAATCATAATTGCACATTAATTTAGTGCTACTTTCTTCAGGGATGTGCTCTAAATTCATTATTAAAACATTAAAAAAACACTTGTTTGTACTTTTGTAAAGAAAGAAAATGTACCACTGTGCGTTCAAATATGTTTTCTTTCACTGTTTGTTCTTTCTAAAGATAGAAAATATTAAACTGTGTATATTAATGTGTTTCCTAGTTATGATTTGATTTAGATTTAGCTATTTTCTTATACATGCTTTTTAGTGACGTCACCAGTCTGTCCTATACCGCCGCCGCCACCTCCTACCGCGCATCAAGTTCCAGCGCCGCCCCGTTCATATGTAAATGTAAATCCTGCTTCAGGTAAATATATAATTATGTCTATGTAGTTCATCACTTTTATATATGCTCTCATTATAGTGTGCATTTTGATTGCAAAACAAGATTTCTTCTTTGTAGATATTCTGTATGATTTTGGAAATTGTTTTTTTTCTCCGTTCTTTCTTTTTGTGTTTGCCAGCTTATCTTAGGAGTTATCAGTCAGAAAATCTATTTCCGGTTTGAAAAATAGCAAATTAGAGATACATGTAGTGTGCAATTTTCGATTTCCGAACATCATTTTGACCGACCATTACTGCCTAAATTTACATTTTTCAAGATGCCGGGATCAATCGGTTCAAGTACAAATAATTACATCTGATAATTTTTCATTGTAATGAATTTAGCCAATAGTTAAATAATAAAATGGGAAAATTATTAAGCAAATAAAAGTTTCTTGAAATCAACAATTCAAAGATAGCATTTCTCTTACTCTGAAATTTCGACCGTTTATGGAAGAATTGCCAATAAACCCCACAAACTTACCAGTTTTGGCTATTTGACTACCCTTCTTAAATACCGTATGCAATTAGAAAACATTTGTTGCAAATGCTTCAAGTTTATCCACTGTCATTACTAACATTCAGAAGTTCACGGATTTTAGAAAGTTTTGATTTTGATGTCGCATCGTTTATTTTAGATGTTATCCATTTGTTACTGGGATTAGCAATGATTAAATATTACATTTGTCTTAGCTTACGTTTTATTTCCTCAAGCATTTCTCAATCTGCCCTTATTTTGGTGGTTATATCTATATCATGTTAATAAGTTAGATTTCTTCAACAACAATCTTTATCGTATATTTTACACTATGTTGGCATTGTACAAACTATCTTCTGCAGCGGGAAAATGTCATAGCGGTACATGTGTTTAAACTGTGTCTTTTTATTATAGCCACTTTCAAATATTCCCAAAATGTTTACTGGCAAAACGTTATAGCAATTTTAATTATGATACTTGTCTTTTCTATTGGTGTGCTGAAAAGCTTCATCTAACGTCAAGTGGACCTCATGTGGTTTCTGTCATGAAATAAAATTATCAAGCTATAGACAGGTTGATGGTTTTACTTAGGTTTTTGTTTCCGCTTGTAATTAAAACTGATACACAGAGGTATTCGTCAACCAGAAGTCGTCATATGATTGCTACATTATCGGCTTCACTTTAAACGTAACAATGTGTACTACAAGCGCTTAGTTCTTTTAACATTAACAAAGGTGTACTACAAAGCTGTCACGTCCCTCTTATCCTTTCTTTTTTACTCTTAGGACATGTAGATCCAGCTTTAGATGCTTTGCCTGTAGCTCCCCCAGCGCCTCGAGATCCAATTGGTTTGTAAAAATATCCATTTCTTCTTCTTAGACGTATCAGTTTCTTTGTGTGCCAAAATTTCAAGATTTTAAAGACCAATTTGTCTGAAATGACCAATTTATTACTGTTCATACTAAAATGGCGAGAAAAAATGGCTTGCAATGTTTTTCTTCTGTACATCGCTATACCTTTCCTTCAAGAATGTATCTTTTACTGAAAACTTTACTTGTATTGTTTGAAAAAGATTTTTAATAGAATTTTAAAAATTATGATGATGTAGAAATAAGTAAAAGTTTGAAGACTAACAGTGTTGCACATAAATTATAAATAATATTTGCATTCCTTCACTTGTGCACATTTCTTTGCATTTTAATAGCAACAATTCTAATAGTGTTATTACTTATTTTTACGAATATAAATATGAATAGAAAAAAAAACTTACTTTAATCGTGAACATTAATTTCATATATAGTGTCATCACCATCTTCTGCCAGCACAAGGAATTCAATACCCAAGGCATCATCCACGGGCTTAAGTGCTTTATCACACACATCATCTCCTTCCGTTAATCTTAGAAATAGTTCTTCCGTTGCCTCAAATCATACAAGTGCCACTCAAAACAGACCAACGGTGTCAAAATCACTTAGTGAAAACCAACTTAGATCTATGCGATCTCCTGATTCGCCGAAAAATTTCCCCACGTGGGGAACACCAAAACAGAGTGTATCTTTACAAAATCAGACTAAAAGACCGGAAAGTGTAGCCGGTGTTAGTGTTAGTGTAAAAGAAGAACCTGTTGCAGGCATTGATGATTCGACACAAGGTGGCGTTTCTACTCTTAGAAATAGATTCGAATCGTCTTCCTCAAATTCACCAGCACAGCATAAAGCGGGTACATAAGTATATTCATTTCATTATTCACTAATTTGATAGCAATGATTGATATCAAGTAAATGAGCTCATATCCTTACTGGCTTTATAAAATTTAGATTACATTTTAGATATATTACTATTTTTAGATGTGTATCATCATTAATGGCATTGCATTTCATTGTTAAAATTTGCATTTGAGCTTAGAAAGACATAGCATTTTAAATCAAGAAAACATTAACGGATAGGTATTCCAGTCTCCTTAAATCGAAAAAAGAAATATATTCATATTCCTTTAAATCAGGCTTTTTAATGGTATTACCAGTTGCATTTACGTCGTAATTTACTGCTATTTTGTGTAAAAGATATAGAGGCGTATCACAGCGCTACAATAAAATTGCATGATATAACCAATTCTTTATTGGGCTTGTACATATACAAAACACATACTTAACTTATGATATATTTTCTCGTGTATAATATTTGTCATTTACTAACTTACTAACACGTTTATTAACTACTAACCTGTTTGAAGGCCGGTCTAGAAGCTCTCTTCCACCCAGATGGTCGGTGTCCAGTCAGCTCTCAGAGACGCTTGGTGAACTGGATGACCTCTACGAGTACCTGTCAGAAGACGGTGTCGATGTTACTAATACAAACATTCAAGCTACTAACACAAATAACAGCAGACATTTACAAAATTCCCAATCAATGATTATTAACTCTAACACTAATAATCAGTCACTTTTAACAGTTGGTAGAGCACAATCTTTTACAAACGCGCCCAGTCAGCCAACTTCCGACAGACGACAGAGACTTCCGGTGCAGGAAGACGATTTATATGATGACACCGTAATCGAGCAGCAGCAGGAATCGGGTAAGGACATGCGATTGGAATGTGTCGTATGAAAGTCTTTGAATACAAAATGTTTAACAAACAACAAAAAACTTACTTTACACTTCCAAAAATATTATGCCAATTAAGTATGTTTTAACACTTAATCATAAGGTTGAATTTGATAAATTCAATGTTAAACATTTTGATTTTCTGACTTTGCTTGATATATTTATTCAAGATATGTGTATACTTTGAGATGTAATGCAATAATGGACCATTATTTGGAGTTAAATATTTATACATTTTCATGCGACAGTTAATCAAAATTTTGCTGCAACAAGTTCAAAAAAGGGGCAACTGTTATTGCATAACATCGGTAGCTTTACTTTAAAAAGCGTTATTAAATCTTGCTAGAAAATGAAGAATTTTATTTGAAAGTTATAGTAATATTGTTGTAGCTGAAAGAAAGGTCCAGTTTCAACAAAAGAGACAAAGCTCGGTGCAAACACCAGCACAATGCGGCAGAAATGACATGCGCCGAAAAACAGAGCCTACCTTATCAATTTCTAAAACCGAATTTGAAGGTACAGTGCAAACTGCAATGTAGCCTTTTTATAATGTTTATATAGCTTGTCTAATACCACCCACGTTGTTGTTGTGGTAAAGGTTCACGTCATACTAACATTCAATATGTTTATATTGTAGAGTTTTGTTTTGTGTTAAGATTTGGAGCATACCCCTTTAATACGGTCATCATCTATATAATATATGGTCAACATGTATTGTTAAACTTTAAAGCCAACCGATTATTATGGCACCATGTTATTAGCTTACACCAAGGTCAACGTGTACTTCTTTGAAGTAAAACTAAAACTCTATATCCAAGAATCTATAATGATTGAATATTGAATCATAATTCTTTAAGATTATCAAGTAAGGAACGTTTTGAATCCATAGCTTGACCCGATCTTTCACAAACCAACATTAGAAGCTTTTGGGGTGAAACACTTACCCTATAGCTATACAGAAAACAATTGTCTCGATGCAGGATTGGTCATTTGTATATAGTTAATATTATAATACATGTAGGTGTATTGCAGAATGCTCGGTTGGTTGGTAAACCGTGTCATCTGCAGATTCTCATTGCAGAATGGTTGTTTGGTTGGTAAAATGTGTCATCGCAGATTCTCATTGCAGAATGACTGTTTGGTTGGTAAAATGTGTCATCGCAGATTCTCATTGCAGAATGATTGGTCGGCTGGTAAAACATGTCATCTGCAGACTGCAAAAGCAAATTATGTAAATCTCTGTCATTGTATTGAATACATAAGCACAGTTGCGTATGCAATCCTAAAAATCAACTGTTCCTAAGAACACAAGTGTTTTTCAGTCTTTCGTGCAAATGTTACACCGAATGGTTTAAGGTCAATGGTTAGACACAGATGCAATGACCTTTGTACGAATGTCCAACTGAGGATTTTCTCATAACATAAGCAGTGTCCATACGACCTTTAACCTAAACTAAGTGAATATAAAAGTCGAAAGTCAAAAGGAAAACGGAAAGGTCAAAATATGTTCATGTTGACAAGGGAAACAAGATGTAGATATTGTATCTATAGAAGCACGATAGATAGGCCAAAAATATATTTTAGTGTAGATAGTAGGTAACGTGCATATATGTTTACGTACACGACAGTGTTTTGTGAGTTTGCTATGACTAATATATGTCTCATTCTGTTATCATTTGTTATCAATTCATTGTTGTGTTTTTTAATTATCATTTTCACAGAGAAACCAATAGGAAGTAAGTATTAATGAGTGCAAAGGTTAAACAGTATATTTCTAATTCTTCTTTTGGAGTTGGGTTGTTTTACTATTAAAAAAAACAACAACAACAAAATGTCTCAGCATGGGCATTATGTAAAACATTAATATATTTTATATGAAAAATGTAACACTTGTTCTGAATATATACAAAACTTTATACCAACACTAATGTATAAGTTATAATAATTTGCTTAAGTAACCAAATGAAGTCATATTTATGAACAAAGAAAGTAATTGGCACTTTGCAAACAACGCTTACAATGATCCATGTAAATTACCAAAAAGAAGTCAAAATATGCAAAAACAGCTCTTTCTGCGTTAGTCACGCTGTAAATACATAGAAATATGGTGACGAATACTGCAAAATCAGACCTTAATCGCACATAACATTTTAATTATTATTTGAAATATGACTTATTTTTACTTTTCTTAACATCTTAGTTCATTTTTCTCAAGTTGATATTCTTAAATTATTAAGCTCACCTGAAGTTCAGTTTTATAATAGATTTGACTCTAAATTAATTTTAACTTTTAGCTCAATGTTAAGTTTTAGTATAACGTGTTAGTTTTTTAAAAAAAAAGCTTTGACTATAAATTCATTTAATTTTTTAGCTCATTATCAACAAAATATAATTTTTGTACGAGTAAACCCATGTACGAGTTAGACATTCTTTATCCTTGCGATTTAGTAAACAACTTTCCATTCTCAAGATTCTTTATGTTTTAAAAATTCTGTTTATTTTAATCGTCTATCTATAAACAATACTAAACGTGTTTATTAAGTAAACTTTACGTATTAGTAAGAGTTGTAATATTGTGTTACCCTAATATATATAATAATGTTAACACTACCATTTAACGTTTTAACAAAAATCAAAATATTTTTTTCAAGATGATCAGGGCTACTATAACCTATGTGACCTATCAATGGGAACAGAGTAATTAATGAGTTTATCATATAAACTAAAATGTACTTTTTTTTACTAAACACACACTGCTATTCTTTCTTTTAACAAATGTTTATGTGTGTTCTATTATTCAGTGGGTTTTTTTCCTTCATTTCTTTTCTAATTCTAATTAAAGTTATGTACAGACCAAATATATTAAATAGTAATTTTGGCTCAACTTATTAAAGGGACTCTACTGCGGTATTTTTACATGACGGGACTGCAAATATTTTTTCGAGATTTTTATAATTATATCAATCACTTGTGTACACATTTTCAAATCATTCGCTTGCTGCTTTTTTTTCCAGAATTATCATATTTATTTTGCAAAGTGACCTAAAAATGAAAAGCATTTAAACGCCTTTAACTCGAAACGGGCCAAAAGATTGCACAAATAATCGTGATTTTATTTTATTTTTAATTTCGAGCATATTTGAGCCGCGTCACGACAAAACCAACATAGTGGGTTTGCGACCAGCATGGATCCAGACCAGTCTGCGCTACCGCGCAGTCTGATCAGGATCCATGCTGTTCGCTGTCAGTTTCTACACTTGTAAAAGAGTTGGTAAGCGAACAGCATGGATCCTGATCAGACTGCGCGGTAGCGCAGACTGGTCTGGATCCATGCTGGTCGCAAACCCACTATGTTGGTTTTGTCGTGACGCGGCTCATTTCTTTATTATCTTATACATGGTTTATAAGTTTTACTGGCACAGTTGATTTATGGTAGATTTGATAGTTTGGAATCATTGTATTCGTCAGACGGGTGCACATGACCCCAGTCAGTTTCTTAATGTGACATTATGCTCATTTTTTTCATTGTCAAATTGACTTTAATTGACTATATATTTCAATAAACTGGTCGTTATAATGGTGATTGACCAACACATGATCGAACATGTTAAGGGGGAAAATGAAATCTACCTTAATATATAAAAAATAATGCCCCACTCTTAAGTTATATATACATTCCGACGGATAATTACACACATTTCACAGGGCCTATAGTGAGTTATTTATCGTTCATGTGAAGTAAATTATAAAATTGAAAGGAATTATGAGAAAGTGATAACTTTTTTTTAATATCACCTGTTCAGTCAATACCCATGGATGGGCATAATGTCACTTTAATTAACATCTAATCATTTGATAAATTTGATATTTTTTCCATTTTATTGTGGGTTATATTTGTATGGATGTTTATGTTTTATGTCTAACAATAACGTTATGTAAATTAACATTTTTTGTTTTTGTTTTTTGGGAATCAATTGAAATCTCTTTCTTGACTTATTTAATTCATTTCTAAGCTTATCTAATAATTATTAATCTAATAATTTTGACTGAATAACAACAACAATTTTTTTTTAAATATCTCAAGAATCATAAGAGTAGCAAACTTACTAATCTTATCAAATCTTACATAAATCAGATTCTTGAATGAGTCAAATTTATTTATCAGTGATAAAGATACATCATAATGATAGGGTTTATTTTTACATTTTATTTTTTTTCCTATTTCCATTACATAATACTTCTAAACCCTTAATTTAAATTCGGGTTTCTTTGTCTTGACTTAGCATGACACCAAGAGCATATATTCTTTTCATTTCAGGACTCAATCAAAGTTTCAAAAATAAACTAGAAGGTCTTTTTGGTGGGAGTCCTGCACCAGCTGCACAAAGACCAGTTTCAAATAAAGGGATTAGGGAGTTACCGGCAACGCCTATTAATAGACAACTGTCAGAGGATCACGAATACCAAGAGTTGCCGGAAATTATACCCGACGCCGTTACCTACGTTAATGACAAATTTAATGTTGATTGAGCTACATATGACACTTTTGATTGACTTAACATAAACTTAGTAAGCAATTTCAGTTCTGTTGCCAAACGCTTGACTATATCATTCAACATTTAAGACAATGTCCAAACAGAGCGTATCGTAATGCCTGCTAACTCCGTGTTACAGACTAAAAGTACCTGCTTACTCCGTGTTACGGACAAAAATGTTTGTGTACTCCGTGTTACGTCAAACTTTGTCAGTATTCTCCGAGTTACGTTTCTTTGAACTATAAGAGAAGTTAAAGTTTTATATACTTCAAATTACAGCTGTCTGGTGCGCTATTATAAGTTATAAATGTAAATTTACTCAAAGATATGCTTTAATTAGTGCTAGTGAACATTGAATAATGTGCGATAGGCCAGTATTAAGGTTTATTCGACTTTAGATAGAAAGTGCTTTCATATAAAAAAGATAATTATTTGTTGGTTGATACATGCATGAATATTTGAATGTATTTTGACAGATCAATTTATGAATATTATGGTAAGAAATCTGAATCTGTAAATCCATCCGTTCACGATATTAATGAATTTGTACTTTGCTTAATTGCTGGCGAAATGTTGGGTGCATCAAACATATATAATATGCTTTAATTAAATAAAATATGGCCGCTCATATACATAGAGGATATTCAAGTTTTTTCTATAAATACATGATTTATTTTCATCGAGTGGTATGAAAATAAATATTTCATGAGTGGCGGTAGCCACGAGTGAAATATGGTAATTTTCATGCCACAAGATGAAAATAAATCATGTATATATAGAAAAAACTTGAATTTTCTGTTTATTATATACATTTTTCTCTTTCTGGATATAAAAATTTGCAAGACTTTCCCTTAAATTTTGAGTACTGGCAGAATTTAAAAGAAAGTAGTCCGGCAAGACACCAGTGAAAATACGGAAAATATGTTTCACTGCAGTGAAAAATAAATTTTTACAGTGAAAATACGGAAAATGAAAATATGCATTTTATTTCATCAATATTTCTCAAAATTTCATTTAAAAGTATATAATAAATATATATATACGTAGGATATTAAGTCCTACGTGACCAAGTGTCATAATATTATAATGTGAATTTTATGTGTTTTATTATAGGAACTATTTTAATTTAAGGAAAGTGGAATTACAACAATTGCATGTATTTACTCATGATACATATGGGTCATTCAAAAGAAAAATACTTATTTTGAATAGGTCCAGCTAGAGAATGAGTCTGAAGAAATATGTATTCTTAATGCTCGCTGATTCTCTGCATCGTTATTAAATATAAATGAGCCGCGTCACGACAAAACCAACATAATGGGTTTGCGACCAGCATGGATCCAGACCAGCCTGCGCATTCGCGCAGTCTGATCAGGATCCATGCTGTTCGCTTACAGACCCTATAGCAAGTAGAGAAACTGATAGCGAACAGCATGGATCCTGATCAGACTGCGCGGATGCGCAGGCTGGTCTGGATCCATGCTGGTCGCAAACCCATTAAGTTGGTTTTGTCGTGACGCGTCTCAAATATATAATTGTTCACATGTGTTCATCTTCCCATTAGACATATAGGTCGTACATAAAAACGCCATACATAATTACGCGGAAAAGTCCGTACCAAACGAGTATTATTGTGCCAAATGTGCAAAATGCGAACTACTTTCTCTGTGAAATTCTTACAATCTAACGTCAGATTCGCTGACACGCATTATTATCTCTCCTCTATATTTATACAGATTTTACAATATAGTTTTTTCAACTTTCTGTATTTTAAACAATTTGCTTTTTATTACTAGGAATTGTTCGACATTCTGAGAAAAAAAAAAGAATGATGAAACATAAAATCCGTTTCTTTTAAACCATACTGATCATCATTCGCTTTGATTTAGTTGTTAAATGGTTACTAGGTGTTGCATGAATATGCATGAATGCTCAATCATACTATCATTTTATTTTTGCATATCATATATGACATAATACTTGGGCAAAAAAAAAAGTTTGTTTTTTTTTGGTCCCAGCATAATAGTATAACATTATGACGTCATATTTTCATTTGACCAATCGTGCATTAGTATCAGAGAATGATGTTGATATAAACTTTGCATTATTAAAGATATACTATGCTCATCTTTTAGTGAAAACAAATTTAATCACAGAAATTTGTTAAAGTCTATGAAATTCTAACTGAATATGTTTAACTTGAATAAAAGAATGAATAAACTATGTATGGGAAGCTGCATTCCATATTACTGGTCAAGAAAAGTTGGTCTTTTCTTAAAAAAAAACTGCCAGTTTTTTTTAATGACACAATATATTCATATTGTGACCACCAATAGTTTGTTGAATTTTTAACATAATATATCTACTTTGTATGAAGTCAAACCTGTTTATTTTATGTTTACAAAGAGACTGTGTAGCAGCTGGGACATAAGATTATCTTATGTCCCAGGTAGCAGTTATCAATATTTTCGAATATCAAATTTGAGCATAGTATATCTTTAAATATTGCCCATCATTAAAGAGATTTATTTTCATTATTTATATACTTTATTTACATCATTGTGATAATTCATACATAATAAATGACAAAAGAATTGGTATACTTGTTTATTTTGTGACCTGCTATATGCTTTTTTTGTTTTTCCCATTTGACGGGGTCGGTATACTTGGCAGACAGACTTTGCAGACAACACGTTGTGGCAAAATTCAATTAACATTTTCGTTGCAAAATTTAGATTAACAAACATATATCTTCCAAATTGTGTTCTTTTAAAAAATATATATTTTCTTTGTAAATACACTACTTTAATTTCTAGCATTTCCGTATTTAAGTCAGTATCTTTCCCAATCACACCTTATGACAAAAGATTTAACACCCTCTATACAATCTATAGTCTCAAATCTATAGTGCAAAATCTAAAACCCTTAGTTCTTAAACTGGTCTGCAAAATCCCTTTATGTTTAACTTGTCTGCAAAGTCTGTCTGCAAAGTATACCGATTTTGAAAGACCTAGACACGCGCTTAAGTCACGCCAGGAGACAGCTACCTGTGTTCCATAACCAGTAATCGCACACCGGTGGATTGTGGAAGCCGGAAGGGAATCCCACCTTAAAATTTATATGAATCAAAATTCACAAATAAAACAAAATTGAATTCAATGTTAGACAAAGGAAAGTTTATAAAAAACATTATAAATAAGCTTTGAATTTATCAAAGTATAATCTATGTAGGCCAGAAGATTTCCTTTACATATAAAGTTAAAATTAATTTATTCATAACTTAAAAAATATATCAAAGCCATATACTCGAAATATGAATCAGATTTTTAGTTAACCTAAATCAAAACGCTTATAGATAAAACCATAACACATATCATGGAGATATTTTTAAATCTCTATGTAATTTGTAATTCAATAGATATTATTAATATCTGCTTAATACAAATATATTTATTTCATCTTGATTTTGAAGTAATGTAATAACTCTTTCGCAAATCAATCATAAAACTATGGTACCAACATCATGTTTACAAAAAAAAAATCATTAGATATAGTTTTATACCCTTCAACCAATCTGCCCTGGAAGCCCCATATATTGTCTGATTGTGGAAAAAGCTTGGAAGCGTACAGTTTGGTTAGCTCAACAGGTATAGCATTGGACTATGAATCGGCCCATCTTGGTTCAATTCCCGGACGGTGCAGGTCACTTTTGTTATGATTGATCATGAAATTGTTTTTCTGGTCATTCGCACAGTACAAGTTATTAATGCCTTGTGAAAGTGAAGGCCTGCCCAGGAGTGATGAGGTGACTGAACTGTACTCGATGTACTCAATTCAGTGTGGCTAACTGCAGTGATCCGGAGTGAAAACTACTAACACCACCACCACAGCTTGGAAGCTTGTTTGAACCACTCAACAAACTAATCACTGCAGCTAAATATGGCTATGACCCTGTAGCGCTCAAACCCACAATCACTGGGTTCAGAGACATTTACCATTAGCCAACCACTCTCTATACTGTAAATAACAACTGTTTTAAAAACTGGAGAGAAAAATTTACATAATAATAAAGTTCTCATTGTCTTAAGGGAAATAACAACTACATGTATTTGAAAAATTGAAAACAAAAAAAAAATTGTTAATTTTTCATTGAAAGTCAAACATATACAGCATATACATATTCATCATAAGTTCCTAAATGAAGTATTGAAATATCAATGAGATATAAATTATATCACACAGTTACATTCAAAAATGTAAGAAAACATACCAGATAAAGATTTAATGACATCAAGGACTTTTTGACATCTATTGTGATAACATCTGACTAGTTAAATGGACTAACTATATAATGTTACATGAATAAGAACAAAATTTAGCTTCTTTCTATAGTGAATATGGGCTTTTATCTCACTTCAAAGTGTGAATTTCTTTCATATTACCACTTGCACTTTCCACTCTTAAAAACATTTAAAAATCCTCACTCTTCATAATGCCATATGGTCTATTTCACTGAAATCATACTTACATGTATGCATTATTACTTATATGCCTATATAACCTGACCCACTATATAACATTTGTTTGCAATATAACCCTTGCCAAACAGCTCAGGTTATATTGCAAACAACAATATATAAATGGCCATATAACTCACCAAACATCTATATAACAAATTCATATTATAGCAGAATGACTGACTTTACTTCATAAATTGGCAGCAGCCTTGTTTATAGATTATATAAACATCACAATAATCCAATGAAAAGTGACCTTAAAAATATACATATTGTACACAACTCTATATGTAATAAAAAGCATAGTAATGTATATTATATGTATCTGATTTTAGTCGTACAATGTATCCCATTTGAAATTTAAAAAAAAAGCTATACTTAATTCGGAAGAAAAAATATTTAAGCTACACTTAATACGGAAGCAAGAATTTGAAGTTACACTTAATTGGGAAGTAAACAATTTTGAGCTTCACTTAATTGGGAAGCAAGAAATTTTAATCTACACTTAATTGGAAAGTAAGAAATTTAATGCCCAACTAACAAAAATAAATGTAACAACAATCACTTTATACAAAGATTTAGACTGCATCACAGGAAATTTTAAAACAACTGCTACACCGTGAATGATATAAACCAGATCTCACTATTTAAACATGATTGTAAACCTTTTTAGGACAAAAGTACTTTTATAATTGAAATATATCACTCAACAGTCAGTAAAAAGTAATTTAATTAAAATAATGTAGATAACAATGGTATTTCAAAAGCTTAATGCCATACTTTGTAAAATATAGGGTGAAAGTTTTACATAAAGAACTAAAGGGAGATAATCATCAACATTTATATTCTTTCATTCTTAATATGCAGCAGCAGAGTATTTTCTCTATCACAGATATTAATGTTTTAATTACATGTCAAGGTTTAATGTTGGCTAAAAAATCCTAAACTTTACAGAATTTCAGGTTTATAGAAAAAGAAATCACAATTAAAATAGTCACTTTATTATATGAATAATTAGCACCAACTAATGAAAAATTATATAATTTTATTTCATGCTTTCCGGTGTTTTACTGGAATATATCAAATGATTATATTCTGATAAACCACTAGTGAAATTT